TGATATGGTGATATCAAATACCTTATTTGTCACATTGTACAGTGTGTGAGAGAGAAAATGATTTTGAAAATTAATCATGGGTCTGGTTCATCAGTTTCTGAGAGTATGATTCAAATACAGTGATTCAATATACACAAAAAAGTAAAAGGTTTTATACCCTGCAGGAACGGTGTAGTAAGATGGCTGAAGAAATTGCCAAGTCCCAGCCCAGTACATTATCTCACAAGCCTGGATTAAAGCCTGAAGACTTTATTGTTGATGTAAGGATAATCTCTTTAAATGCTCATTTTAAATGATTTTGATTTCTTAACATATGTGCCTACAATGCACTTTAGTACATTTTTATTTTTGACTTGCCTCTGTGAAGGTTATCAACATGGATTATGGAATGAAAAAGAAGAACCCTGTCAATAATGTGCGTTTCTACTGCAAGTCTGACCTCAATAAGGCATTCAGAATTTCTAAAGAACAAGTAAGTAAGGTTGGGGTGTGTGTGTGTTTCTGCCTGTTTTATTACGATAGCATTTTAAAGAGTATCTGAATACATGTGAAAATGACTACAAAATTGCATGGCAATAGTAGCAACCGAGTTCTAATATCACCTGTTATGTAAGTGCTCACTGAATGCAAGTGGTTTTAAGGTAAAATTCCCCTGTGCAAACATTCCTGTAACTGAATAGTGCTGCTGAGAAATTTGTTGAAGCTTTTTCTGACAAGGTGATAAAATTAAGTGTATGTGACTTCTTTTTCCTTCTGTCTTAAGGTTTCAAAGCTCTTACCAGAAAAATTTGAAGAGCAGCAAATCAGGGTTTATTGTAAGACAGCAGATGAAGAGACTATCTGTGATGCTAGAAAATATTTCGTTCAGTGGTGTATAGACAACAATTTCACTAAACCACAGGTAAGAAAGGTTTAACATTGAGAAGGTGCATCTCAATGTAGAATCATAGAATTGTAGAGTTGTAAGGGAGCCCGAGTATCATCTAGTCCAGTGTTTCCCAACCTTTTTTGGGCAAAGGCACACTTGTTTCATGAAAAAAATCTCGAGGCACACCACCATTACAGCCCCGTGACGTCAGCGTGCAGCGTCACGCCGGGAGGGACGCACGAAAGTGTAAGATTCAATTTTTCCCCTCCCCCTTGCCTTCCTTCTGTGCCAACCGCCAAAAAGCCAAGAATCGCGGGACCGCCGGCGGAGGGGGGAGGGCGAGCGGAGACAGCGGCGAGCCCCGTTCCTCCCCATCTGCCCCATTCCGTGCAAGGAGCGCGAACAGGTGTGAGAAGGGGGTCAAACCTGCGGGTCGGCGCCGGGGAACCTCCAAGCTTTGGGGGTGGAGGGGAGGAGGCAGCAAAGCGAGGCAGGAAGGAGAGCGCGGCTTGGCGAAGTACTCGGCGAAGGCCAGCAGGTCCCGCGGCCGGTGCCGCAGCACCTCCACCGTGTAGCCCTGCAGCAGCTCAGTCAGACCTGGCGGGATCTCGATGCTCATCTTGTAGTCGAGGCGCGCGGGAGACTCAACGGACGGGCCCGGGAGAGAGAGAGAGAGAGAGAGAGACACGACGGAGAGAGAGCGGGAGTCCCTGCTCGCCGTCGCCACAGCTACAACTACTGTGGCGGGTGGTCGTGGTCGCCGCCGCCGCCGCCCACCTCTATCTATCTCTCCCCCTCAGCTTTCTACGCGGGCCTCGAGCCGGAGGTGGGGGGTGGCCGCCGCCGCTTTCTCCGCCTCCGCGTCCTGCCTCCTCCTCCTCGAGCCCTCCGTCAGCCCTGAGGGAACCGCCGCGCTCGCGCCGCCGCTCTCTGACACGTGAGAAAGAGAAAGGAACGGAGCGGCGGGGTAGTCGGGGGAAGGAGGGGCCGGAATGGAAGCGCGAGGCGAGCTGCGCATGCCCAGCAGGAAGCGGCGGAGAACGCCACAGAGAGAGAGAGAGAAGCAAGGGAGGGCGGGGAGTGGGCGGGAACACGCTTCATGCGTCACAATAACGGACAAGAGGTGCTCGAGGGATAGATTAGGACCTAATTTGACTTTTACAAAAAAAATAAATCTTTCGAATTTCCCCCGCGGCACACCAGGCAACGTCTCGCGGCACACTAGTGTGCCGCGGAACACCGGTTGGGAAACACTGATCTAGTCCAATGCAGTAATATGCAGCTATTCCATACGGGGATTGAACCTGCAACTTTGGCGTTCTCAGCAGCACACACTAACCAACTGAGCTTATGAGAGTCAGATCTACCTCATTCTCTGTATTCCTTTTGTTCATCACCTGCTCATTCTTCCATAGTCTCCTCTATCACCAACCCATTATTACTTCTGCACATTATGAACACAAGGGACCTGAGAATTCTAAAAATCTCAGAAATCTCGTTGGAGGACAATCTAGCCTTTATGTTTGCATTCTAAAACAACTGTAATACTACCACTAACTAGAAGTTTTGTATCTGTTATTAATTTCCTTGGAAATGATGAATACATAAAATTTGTTGAGAGGGGACTACCACAAATAAATGGGGTACAGCACGAGTCACCCATTACCCTTTCCTGACAGTTTGAAAGGGCGGTGCAAGAATGTTTTTCTTGTAAAATGATGTGTAAAAAGGCTCCAATGAGTGTCTTGCTCCACTTGCCAAGTAGATGACAGAATGTATTGACTGTTAATTTCCAGTGCACAACTGAACTTCTTTTCTTCATTTTGATGCTTTGATAGGATGGTGATATTGTTGCCCCTGAACTTACACCAATGAAAGCAGACTGGAATGTAGTCAAAGATGACGAAAAGCATGATTCAAAGAAAAACAGTTCTACTCCAAAGCCCAGAAAGTCACTTTTTAATGACTAGAACAACTTTTCTATTGAATGATTCCAGTTTGTACAACAAGGTTGTGTTATAAAAACATGGAAACATGGAAAGAAAAGCATTAGTGGAAAATGTCAGTCTTAGCTCAGACGAGTTAAAATTCCATTTGTTGTAGATTTCACATGGACATTTGATGACCGGCAATGTTCTTATTTTGTTAATTCAAATGTGTGCCGGTGAAGAAAGGTCTACTTTCAAAAACAGGTTGTATCCAATGTTAGTCCTACTCAGAACAGAACTGCTGAAATTAATGGACATGGCTAATATAGCTCCATTAATTTCAGTGTGTTTGCTCTGAGTACAACTTAGTTGGATAAAGCTCAAAAGTTTTTGGGAAAAACCACAAAAATCGCCATTCCATTTCAAAACTTCTTTCATTTTCTTAAGATCAGTACAATAGTATAATTTCTCCACTATGATAAATGTTATATATGAAACCTATTGTGGGGAAAGGGGACAAGCCTATGCCATTTGCCTATCTTCTGTTTATGATAAAAGTGCTTATCCTACTGTTCTTTTTAGCTGTCATCCCCTCAAATCATGATAGTCAGTATATGTTCATTTAGAGCTAAACATGCCTTGGCACAATCAAGGATATACTATTTTATAAAGTTACCTTTTTAACTTCAATGCTTACCTTTTATATAACCCAACAAAATACTTGCAGTACCAAAACAACCAATTATTGAATGTATCCTAGCCATTAAGCACTAGGTAGAGAGGAAATGAGCTGGTTTGTATAGAGAGGCAAACAGCTGTTAAGAATCAGAAGCAAATTTCAGACCAGGGAGTTTTACCTGTTATGTTTCAAACTGACTTGAATGTATTTTTAATCTCTCATATTTTCACAGATTTGTTGTCTTTGTATGGAATAGTATATATTGTTCCTTAAAATTTTTTTGGGGGAGGAACACAGTTTTATGATGTGGCACTTTATGCTGACAGAAAATGGGTTTGTGTGAGAGAAGTGTGCTGTTAAATGTGAGAACAGAGTTTCTGAAACTTCACTTAACGAACCTAAGGCTCAGAAGAAATGTATACACCATTTAAGAACTATGGATTGGGATAGAGAGATGTCCTTCTGCCAACAGAATGGCTCCTCATCACAGAAGGGACTATCTACTGTAGGAAGCTGGAAAGCCACTTTCACCATCAACCCCCGGTGTCTCTTTCTGTACTGAGCAGATTTACAGGGCCATTGCAGGGGGGAGTTGAATCCCACTCCCTTCACCAGCAGGATAGTTCAAAGGAATGTTAGATCCATGCCAGTATTTAAAATGAAGTTGCATTGTGGAGTTCTCTTAAAACTTAGGGCTGAAAAATTAAACGTTTAGGGCATTATCAGGTGCTCTGTTGAATTTACTCCCAGCACACAGCACCTGAATCTAGAATTATTTCACCAAACACACTTTCACACGAGCAGAGAGCTGTTCAGAAATATCCAACATTTCTAGTGCTGCAGTCAGAGTAAGGGTAGCTAATCTGTGACCTTCCAGATATCAGTGAACTGCAACTGCTATAATCCCTGACTGTTTGCCATGTCTGGTGCTGATGTGAATTGGGAGTCCCAAAAACATCTAGACTAGACTATGCAAGAAGAGACCTCAAACTCAGTGTCTCAATTGTTTGAGCTCTGTAAGATTGGATTAAAAGGGAGCTGCTTGCATCCTGAGCCTTCGTTTTGACATTAAATTGCTTCATAAAAACAGGTTAAGGTAACATACATAGAGCTATTTTCTCCAAAGCTATATTCAATTGTCAGATTGGTTAGAATTATAATTATATATTTTGTGTGCCTGTATATTAATCTTTTCCTGTGCATATCAGCTGAGTAATAAAACCCCTTTAAAAACCCCTAATGGTCTATACCTAATATGTGCAGAACTTGACTGGACTTTTCAGTGTGTTACAAAGAGCCAATTTCAGTAAAGTAAAATTCAAACTTGAGCAAATCTGGAACTCTGTAGTTACAATACCAATGGGCAATTTATCCCAGTTCATTTATTGGGACCGGCAGTAGGCACAGATGGTTTCCTTTGCTTGCCCAGTGATGTCTTCGGAATCTGCCCCTTACAGCCCTGCTTCCTGTATTTCAGATTTTGTGCTATATTTTGAATTTTGTTCTGCCAAAGAATGCACTTGGAAGGGTTGTGAATTTTGATGTTAGGAGAGGGGAGTGAGCTTCGAAAACAGTTGGATAGCTTCTGCTGAAGAGCCAGGAAGTTGAGTCAGAGGCTTCACAGTGATTGAGAGTACATCTGCACCAGAACTTTAAGCTGCTTTAAAACAAGTTTGTTGTGACTTTTACAGAACTACAGTTTCCAGTGTTCTTTAGTGAAAGAGTACTTGCAACTATGGAAGGTGTATCTAGTTCTCTTAGGATCACGGCTTTCAGGATTTCTAGGCTGAGAGCTAGGAGAGATACATGTTCAGAAAGGCTTATGTCTTCATTATGTGCTTAAAAGACAAACATAAGGCCTCCTCTACTCCACCCCTTCCCTACATACCTAATGCTTCTGAAGTATTTCACACCACATTTCTCTCACACCCCTGACATTCCCATCTGTTAAAAGTTTTTATTTATGCTACTAGACCTCAGCATAGCACTTCAGCACAAAACAATTTGGACAGATTGTAGTCCTTGACTAGAAGTAGTCACACGACCTCTGAAATGTACAATGCCCTGTCTCTAATGAGGAAATCTAAGGATTGGTTTGTTTGCTTTATAATTAATTATACATCTAACACTATCAAAAAATCATTGTTCATATATTGACTTAAAAATCATTAGGCAGATATTTCAAAGCAATGTTAAAAGAATTGCTGCATCATATATCTAACCAGAGGAGTATCCAAGGGCATCTCTAGATGACATTACAGATTATTCAAAGTGTGTTACTGATGCTGGATCTGAACAATTTAAATATCCTGTCCCTATGAAATGGATAAGCGACATCACAGTCTCTAGAAGCAAGAGGAGAAGCTCTTAAATGATAAAAGTAAAGTGAGCTGATTTATACATGCATGAACGTTGCATTGAATTATTCCTAGATGAAATGTGTAGATTGCATATAGAAAAGCAGTACGCCCAAACCGATTAAGCTCCGTCTGAGGTAAGTTATCTATGGCTGTTTAATACATGCAAGTTGTCAATTGATTGCTCAGTCACAGCATGCATGTGTGAACACATCTGGAATAAAATAGTTGTGCATGGCTTTGCACCAGTGTTTTTAACTGATTAGTTTTTAAAGGTTCTGCGTGCTTCCATATAGGAATAATTTATCACTTGGCCTCTTTTTAAAAAGTTGAGAAAAAAATGAATCTATTTACAAAATGAGGTCAGGGACGTCACATAAAGTGACCCATAGGTGACAAAGAGGCCTGTACATGTTGATGTACAAAATATGTTAGCTAGGACGTGAAGTTGATGCCATTTTCCAAAAACAAAATATTGTTGTATAAAGTGCTATGAAGACAAAATATTGTGTATAAAGTGCTTCCCCAGAAACCCCCAAACAGGGAAAGACTTAAATCCCCCATGGCCACAGTCAGCTAAATTGTGGGTAAGGAGGGAAAAGTAGACTGGTTACTGCTTAACAAACCTTTGTATATGAAATACACTATTATGAAGGGAAAATCTCTCTCATTTGGGGAAATTTCTTTTAACCCTGCAAATTGCCCATTCAGGAGTTGAATGTCATTGGTAGAACGCTACTTAGGAGGCCAAGACTAGCCTTGTGGAAAGCTTCCTATTGCCAAATTAGTGGGTGGTTTGAGGAAAGTGTACTAACTCCAGAGGACGGCAATGTGGGCTGTACCTGTGTGGCTAACTAGGCCATTCAGTGTTTAGCTTCAGTACCTGTGTGGTACTTTGCTGAGCATCAAAGAGATGGGCCTTCTCAAAACCACATGATAAAGGTGTACTTGAAAGCACCTCCAGAGTTCTTGCATTCTAATGCTTATATGAAGTAATTCTATCACTAGCAAGAGCTGTGAGAACTGAGGAGGAGGGCAAGGAGCTTACTGCCTGGTCTGCCATTTGGCAAGTACAGGTTAAGGCTGTGAAGTGTCTCTTGGGTCATCCTTCCCTGGCAAGCAGCCGCCAATATTCGCATAGCTTACCAGTTCTGAAGATGACTGTTAGCAAGATCTTCACCTGCCCTGAAGTACAAAAGGTGAGCTTAACTGAAAATCCTTAGCTCATCTTTCTATAAGCAGGATAGCGGGGAGCAAAATTGCTAATGTTGGGTGAGAAAGAGATGAGGAAATTGCTGGGTTAATCCAGCATCTATTCCATCCCAATCTACGGAGACAGAGGGAGTCTCTACAGCAAGTTTATGTTCATTGAAGGGGATTTGAAAAGCTGCCCCCACAGGACGACTGGCCAAGCCCTGTTCCCATGGCACTTGCAGTGTCAGTGCAGAAGGGGACTTGTCCCCCCCCCCAACACACTTTGGGTTAGGAAAGTGCCCAAACTTCCAGGTCTCGGATGAGGAATTCCTCTTTGGGAGATAATGTCTCATTGTTGAATGTCTCGCAGGGCTGACTTCCTCCATGGTTCAGGTCTCCATCTAGCCACAATCCAAATTTGCCACTGCAAATAAGGGGAAAGGCAAAACATGGCATTAACTTTCTGCAGAATGAGGAACACAAGAAGCTTCTGATCCATAAGAAATACAGTGTGGTTTCGCTCATTTGAGTCAACAGCTCTGTAGGTATCTCACGTGCACGTGCTTTCTGCTGCCTGGGCTGATTGAAGAAGGGTTGTAGTGAGAGCCAGATTAGAGGGCTCATTGCTTCCTTTCTACTCAAATTCTTTCCCCTGCTCTGAAAGGGTTTACAATGAGCTCACCATTTTGCCACAGTTTCTATTTATACATTTAGATGCTTTGGAACTATATACAGCCAAACTGGTTTTCCACTGCAATGATTAACCATCTTTTTCCAACATGTATACAAAAGAGTCCACAGTAACTTGGAAGATCTTGACGCAGAGCAAGATGATAATGTGTACTAAATAAAGCTAGACAGCTATGTCCACTCAAAGGACACACACAAAAATACCATTGGGCTTTTTGTAATCGGTATCTCAAATCATAATGACTGAAGAAGTACAGGAGAGAGGAATCTTCAGTTTGATGTCATGAAACCTAGAAATAAGTGAGGGGTGGATAGTGGTAAATTTAAAAGAGAAAAAAGTAAAAATACTTTTCACCGTGACTCACATTCTGAGGAATAACCTGTTCTAGATGAACTGTGATGGCATTTGTTTTACTTGTACCACTGATTCAGTAGCGGAGGGACCCAGGCTCCAGAAAGAGATGCTGACTGCGAGACCATCCTCAAAAGTTAATAATCTGACTGGGACTGCATTGCAGCACTCCTTCCCTTCACAACAAATCCATTTCCGCCCACTAACATCTTTCACAGTCACATACCTGCCTCCACCAATTGCTAGGGAGTCTGCATCTCCTTTCATGAAGAAGGTGTTTTTACCTGTCCACTTAAATACCTGGAGAGTAAGGAGAGAAAAAACATGGTTGAGAGAAGCATCTTGGGAATAAAAGACACAGCTGTACAACTAGAGAAAACAATCATTATTTTGTTTTCCAATGCTTACTTGAAACCTTTATATTCTGGTTCAGTTGGCAGCATTTTGAACGTTGTGTCATCATCCCACCCCTTAAACTCTTGCAGACTTCTTGTGAAGTTTGACTCAGAAGTAAAATGAGAAGCCAGAATTGCAACTTAATACACAAGCTCCCTATCAGGGCAATTGTCTGCATTACATTCTGGTGTAAGTCTCATTGAGTTCAGTAGAATTTACTGCCAAGTATTTATTGGTAGGGGTCGCTTACCACTTCCTACCATGTATTTTAATTGTGACTTCTTCCACGCTCACCCTTGTTTCTGGAGCAGTCATCTTTTCATACTCTCTCTCTATATATATATTGGATAATCCACACGGTATTGTCAAATGGTTGCTTGCAGTCCAGCATCTTTTGTGTTGACCTTCCATGTTTTATTATAACTGAATTGTGTGTGTGTGTGTGTGTGTGTGTGTGTGTGTGTGTGTAAAACAATTGAAGCAGCACCCTGACTGTTAATGCCCCATTTCAGATCTCGGGTAACTTTAAACAAGCATTTCCCCTTTGCAAGTAAAACCATTTATAGTAAGAATAGGGTTGGTCCTATAAATGTCTATCTGGGGTATCAAAGGCCAGGATAAAAAGAAGGAAGGGGAAGGCTGATTTATTAGACCAGGCATGTCCAACTCCCAAGAGACTGACCTACTCCCAGTATAAAAAAACTGGCAGTGATTTTATTGTCATTATTTTATTGTCTTTTCCCCTGTAACATTTTGTACATGATAAAGATCCCGTGATCTACCAGGATCAGCTGGGGATCTACCGGTAGATCACGATCTACTGGTTGGACATCCCTGTACTAGACCAATTGCCAAATGGTGCATACTGGAAACTTTGTAGGTATACCACTTTAAGCCTGTGGCAAATCAGTGACAGGCAACGTTTGTATAATTGGTAATAACTCCAGATACTGTTAACACACACCGATAACTTTCATACTTGGGGGATGATATCCCTTCAATCACCTTAAGTTGTGGGGTGAAGGAAAAGAGAAATGTTTCTCCATTGCCGTAGAAGCAGCTGCTGACATGAATGGCTGTAGAAGAAAAGGCTCCAAATATCTGAAAAGGATGCAAGAGAGATGTGTTGTAACTTGCAAGTAGCAGGAAGGCCATTTAGAGTAGGCAGTGAACTGAACCCAACCAGTCAGCCCCCCTCTGCTAGACTTGATAAGTCTGGCCTGTTTCAAAGCTAGTTATGCTCACCTGGCCTTCAGTATCTCTGATAATCAACAACACTGGAGAAGCTAAATCACTCATGCTTCGGTACATAGTCTTCAGGCTAAATCCATCCCTTGCTGTACAGTAGATGAGGTTCCATGGGTGTCCAGTCACTCGTAGAGGGAGGTGTGGTGCAAGCTAAAAGATATCACATACACAAGGTCACTTCTTTCCTTACCTCCATCTACCCTGAGGCCTTAAATATGTTATTGGACTGCATGTCTCCATCCTTACCCATTGGCCATACTGGCTGGGGTGAATGGGAGTCCGTCAACCTCTGGACATCCACAAAGTTCACATCCTTGCCTTAAACCTATCCAACATAGGAATGTATCTTAAGTTATTCCAGTAGATCTGTGGGGAACCTTTGGCCCTCCAAATGTTGCTGTACTACAACTCCCATCAGACCCACCAAGCAGGCCCAATGGTCAAAGATAATGGGAGTTGTAGTTTAGCAGCATCTGGAGGGCTAAAGGTTTACCACACCTGCACTAGCTCATCAGTATATCTTCTGCTTAGTAGTTCAGGTCACAGGTCATACACCCTAAGTTAGTGGTATCCAGCTGGTCGTCTGCAAACCCCAGGGGGTCCCCGTAACCCACCAAGCGGGGCCATGGCACATACCCATCAACCGTCCAGGACATCCCATTTTGGGCGCCCATGCTCTCGCGTGGGAGTGCTGCCCAGAAGATGCACGTCCCAGTTTTGCGCTGGGACAAGTTGGAGCATATGGTGGCACCAATCACATAAAAAACATTTTCAAAAGTAGGGGGTCCATGGCTTGGCTTTTGAAAAACAGGGGCCCCACATTCCTTAACTAATTGGGAACCACTGCCCTAAGTTATTGGCCCCATCTACAATCTTTGCATTCACATAAGTAAATACTAAGCCTGTGGAAATAACTGTTTTGAGACTGTCCTGGAGAATTTCACTTCTTTGCACTTGTTCCTTGTAAAGGGGGCCAAGGGTCTCGTGGGCCTTGTAGAGACATGGCTTCAGCAGACCTTCCTGCCAAAAGCTTGCTTTCCCAGTTAACAGAGGTCAGCAATACTCCATAATGTGTGCCTTAGCTAAGGACAATGTGTGGAAGTGATGTATAAGGGCAAAGGGCTCACCCAGGGGAGTCACTCATTAAAGAAAATTGCTGAGTCACAGTATGAAGGGTGCTCACCTTCTGGATTTCTTCTAGGTGGAGGATGTTGCTTTGCCCATTTAGCACAGGCTCATGAAATTCTGTGCTTGTCCAGACTGGGTTCTCTGGTTCAGTAGACTCCTCAGGTTCTGAAGACAGGGCTTCTTCCAGCAGGTTGGGCTGATAAAAGGACACACACTGTTAAATGGGAAATGAATAAGGCAACAACTAAGTTGCAGAATCTTCCCCAGTACGTAGTCTGTTGCGTCACTAGAAGGATACTCCTCAGAGAGAACTATAAAGGCAAAAAGATAAAGCAAAGTGAATTGCAGAAGGCAACCAGTCTACCCTTCCCTCTAGTCTCATGGGACTGCTAAAAGCTTAGTCTTACAATTAATAGCACAGCAGTATGTAGGCCACAATAAGGCAATATTTTAGTCTCAGGAACATCAGTTTAATGAACCAGCCACTCCTCCCCTTCATCCTTTGTTCCAGCGGGTGTCTTCAGAGGGTGAGACTAGAAAAAGGGTAGATTGTCTTCTGTGATTCATTTAAAGCCTTAGCAGTCCAGATGTTGTTGGATTCCAGCCCCTTTCAGACAGCATGGCCAGAGATAATGAGAATTGCAGTCCAACAACATCTGGAGGGCTACAAGTTCTCCGTTCTTGATACAAAGCTCTATTAGTGCATCTCTAGGGCAGGTCAGAAAGCAACTCAGCTACCCTGCAATTGTCAACTATGTAAATGTGGAGCCTTGACTCTCTTAATGAAAATACACCATAGTAAAATGACAGTTTGCTCTTTGCTGTGCCATTCCCCCTCCTCCGACATTAAATATTGCAATTGCAAGAGAAGAAACTAGATTCAGTACACATTTAAAGCTGAATTTATGAAATTTGTACTTTCCAAAACAATATGCAACCTGAAACAAAATCATCCTTCGGAATTTTGCAATGCAGTACGCCAACCAAATAATGTTTACAAAAATGCATATATTAAGGGAAAGTGTGCAAAAATAAATAAATGAAGATGGTAGTTAAAATCGCATGTAACAATGCATTTTATTAAGGAAACTTGCTTACAGAAATGTGTGCCTTAGTAAAAACTGCATTTAATAAATGGATCATTAGCAGAAATTCACATTAAAAGGCTGCTGAAATTTCTGTGAGGATTAAAAAACAAAACAAAAAAACTCAAACTGCTGAAAAATTCAGAGAAATGAATGTAAGATTGGAAAAATGAGAATCAAAACTGACAGATCTTTCTATCCCTATTCAGGAGGGGTGAGCCTTCTTCCCAGCTTTAGTACAAAGTGGTTTGCCCGAGGGCTGCTGCACATTATCAAGGTCCTACATAGCCAATACAGTGGTACCTCAGGTTAAGAGCTTAATTCATCCCGGAGGTCCGTTCTTAACCCGAAACTGTTCTTAACCTAAAGCACCACTTTAGCTAATGGGGCCCTGCTGCCGCTGCGCTGCCAGAGCACGATTTCTGTTCTCATCCTGAAGCAAAGTTCTTAACCTGAGGTAATATTTCTGGGTTAGCGGAGTCTGTAACCCGAAGCATATGTAACCTGAAGTGTATGTAACCCAAGGTACCACTGTACTGTACTAATGTCCAGGAAATAAATTCTGTGCGTAGATCTTAAAAGTACAATGATCCTGCACGACATCTGTGTCCTCAAGCTACTGTCCTAGAAACACATGTAGAGAGGCCTCAAAATCCTATTAGCATGTGCATATGCTATCGTATCTCATCTGCACAGAAGCAAAAACTGTATGCTTTTAAAATCAATCTGAAGGTTATCTGGTAAGTTATCCCTATTTGCTTCTATTGCCCTCACTCAGACTGAAGATGAGGGTGTAGGAAGATAATGGTGGAATATGTTTGTAGATACCCTTTCTGGGCCAAATAATAACAGCAACATACCCATCTCAGTATGAAAATGCAATGCATTGGGCAAAAACCACAAAGCCCAGTATCAGCACTGCTCTTTGTCCTCTGCTTCACTTTTATCAATATAACTTTCCCTTGTGCTTCCTCAATTACACATACTTTCTCTTATCAACCTGGTTGCGGAAATATACCACCCACTTCTGTAGAAATCCTACATTCTTGCTACCTTCCTTTCTTTTGGGCTTGCCACCCATCTGAATATATATTTGCTTAAGTCACTTCAAGGATATGAATATTAAAAACTGTCTACCAAATAGCCCGAGGAGCTGAGCTTAAAAGCAAAACTTGAGGTTGAAGGCAAAATCAAGGTGATGGCAACCTCCACCAAACATGATGCTTTTTTCATCAAATTAATTAAACCCGCTTTGGACAAATGGTATGGAATGATTCTGTCTGGGATTACCTGGTAGCACTATCTTGACCACATAAACAATGGCACTCTCAGCCCAAACATCTGAAATACAAGCATGCTGCTCTGCACCAAAAGAAAGGAGGGAGGGAATTTAAATTCCTCAGTAACACGTTGTCTACTAAAGCAAACATATTTCTGTGCTGCCTGGTTTTGAGGTTGACTGACCAGTGTTTCCATTTTCCATTAGGATATACGTATACCTTTTTGGACCTAGGAACCCATTAGCACTAAACTCTTAACAGGCTCCCATGATGCCCAGATGGTTTCAGGGAGGGGGACATAGTACAGTGAGGATGGCTTGCAGTTTCACTTCCTAGAGTTCTAGACCTGGAAGGGATCTTGGAGGTCATCTCGTCTAACCTCTTGTTCAATCTGTCTTGCTTCTCTACAATTTGACCATCCAGGCTCCATGGTAGGAGACCACCTCCTGAGGCAGTCTGCTCAACTGTTTCCACTAGGAAGCTTCCACTAACGTTTAGTTGAAATGAACTTTATGCCCTGCAGTTTGCACCCATTTGTTCTTGCCCTGCCCTTTGGAGCAACTCCCTCCTCTATCCTTCCCTATCCCGACCCAAGAAGCAAGGACTGCCGTACATACCAGACGAGTGTAGCGACAGCGTGGAGTTTTCATGTTTTCTGTGATCATCCAAAGCACGACCACGGCAGCCGTGCCGTTTCCTGGCAGCGAGTCGAAGAGGGGAGAGCAGGTGTCTGCCAATTGCCTGTGGAGAACACACCCTCATTCATAAACAGCATGTACTTTATTCTCTCTCAGTAAGCAGGTTCTTCTATTGCTATACAGCTATTGTCACCTGAGATCTCACTATGAAACCCTGTGGCACACAGCCTATTCCAGTTATCTAGTGATCTGTAGCGAGGGAACTTGTGGCCCTCCAGATAATTGCTCTTATTAGTTTATTAATTTATGTCTCAGCATTCATATAAATTTAAAGACAATTTATAATTATACAATAGAAACAACCAAAATAGGTTTGAAAACAATACCAAAAAAAAATTCAGAAGATTGGTTTTAAAATAATACATATAAAAGATGCAAGGCCAGAGACCTAATCTTTTTCATCCCATCCAGTTGGAAAAACTTGTCAAAACGAAATTGTTTCCAGAAACTACAAACAGTGGCTGCCTGTCATCTCATTCTCAACTGGGATGGCGTTCTACAAAATAGGGCAGCCACATTGAGAATGCTGCTCTGAGAAGCTGTGGAACAGGCTTGTGATAATATAGGGGCTTCAAGCAGAAACACTCCTGCAGAACCACCACAATTACCAGTATATGCTTGGTCCTGAGGTGTATAGAACTTTATTAGTAAGAAATCCTTGAACTTAACCCAATAGCAGATTGGCAGATCTTGGAGTAAACTCTCATCATTCCTGACCACTGCTCATGCTGGCTGGAGCTGAAGGGAGCTGTAACCCAAAAACACCTGGAGAACTCAGATTGTCCACCCCTGTTCTATGGCTTCACAGATAAAAGTCCTAGAATTGTGGAAGTGAGAAATTGGCTCTTCATAAACTATAGCTCTGAGGAGAACTCGAGATGGTTAATGACAGATGTATGATGAGTGTATCCTGTCTCTTTAAGAAACAGGCCTGGTCTGTAATAGAAACTGCCTTCCTTGGGTGTGGTTCCTTCCATAGTTCAGTGACAACTAGTCAGAACCTTAGTAATGTATGTAGCAAGTCCTAGCTGCTATGCTGATTTATTGACCTGTTGCTCGCAAATAAATAGTTATTGACGTATTCCTGAGTTCCTGACATTTTCCTATACATTTTCCTGTACTCTTCTGTAACCTCCATCCAAGCAAACAAGAAGTATTATCAGAGGAAGGCAGAACACATTTGAGTCAAGCTGTTCAAGGAAAGTGATGTATTGGGGTAGCAGGAAAACAAATCAGGAGGGGGCAGGCCGTTCAAACACAACTGTCCTTTATTGCTACATAAGTATGAGAATTGAAATTGCACACTGGAGCTCCGCAGCATGCAAATTATAGGGCTCAAGAGGTTCAAAAAGCATTACACTGAATCAGTGTAGTGGGCCGGGGAGAGTCCCAAAGGTCTGGAGGACTGTGTTTGGCCTCTTGGCATGAAGTTCCCCATCCTTTTTCTATAGTTTACAAGGATACTGAATCTTCTTAATACTTGTTTTTCATTAGCCACTGTGGTTCTTTGTGAAGAAGTTGAGCAAGGATGCTGTTCAGAGAATATGGGAAGATATGAGAAGTCTTGGATTGGTCTTGGACCCTTCAACTTATGACAGAGTTGCTCTCTAAAATAAAATGTGTTCCGCACAAGCATTTAACCCAGGAAAATCTGGCAAGGTGCCATGGATGTCACTATGGTTATTAGCTCCGGCCTGGTGGAACGCTCTGCCTCATGAGACCAGGGCCCTGCAGGAGCTGATTTCTTTCCGCAGGTCCTGTAAGACAGAGTTGTTCCACCTGGCCTTTGGCTTGGAGCCAATTTGATTCCCTCCCTCCCTCCCTCTCTTTCTTTTTTCTTTTCCTTCTCCTCCTGCAATGAGGCTACATTTTAATATTTTAATGTTCCATTATTTTAATGTTGTATTTTATTTTTGTTTTTAAGTTGTAATCATTCTTCTTGTTTTTATTATTGCTTGTAAGCCGCTCTGAGCCTGGCCTTGGCTGGGGAGGGCGGGGTATAAATAAAAAATTATTATTATTATTATGGCAGGATTTATGAGCAGATGTCCAGGGCTCCCACTCAGCAGAATGAACAGGAAGGTTCTCAAACTCAGCAGGGGCAGTTTATCACATTGAAAGGAAGTGCAGGAAACCACATCACCATCTAAAGGCTGGGGTGGCGGCGGAGTAAGAGTCTAAAATTACCTAACTGCCCCACTGCAGGCTACACTCGAGAATGGTCCTGCTCCCCCAACATCAGGAGATGCGGCTTGTCAACTCCTAGAAGATTAGCTACTGTAGAAGTGACATGCAAAAGAACCATGGTAACATGCAAATTAACAGGCTTTATGAGTCATGGGAATCACTGCCTTGTGGGATCAAGGCATGGGGGAGAGTTTGTAAGCCACATCCCCTAAAATTCACTTATCTACACACAGTATCATTCTAAAGTGTGCTAAAATTTTACACAGGAGATCATCCTAAGAACATCAAACGAGCCCTGCTAGACTGATCAGATCAGCCCCCTCCTTCCAACAGCAGCTAGCCAATTGCTTCCAATTAGACCATAAGCAGAGCTTGAAGGCAGTAGACTTCCCTCACTGCCAAACCATGCATCATTCTTGTAAAATGATATGCTCTCCTCATGTTGTCTTTTCCCCTGAATTAAGAAGCCCCATATGTTTTGGCTATTTGTGGCAAGGAAAGTCCTTCAGCCCCTAGATCATACTGGTTTCCCTTTTTCTATAACTTTTGCAGCTCTATGTTATCCTTGAGATGGAGTGATCAGGGAACTCTACTGATGCTCCACCAATGAGCTGTTGCCCTGCCTTGGGAAGTGTGGCTATTACCCTCATGGGAAATATTTTGATTACCAGCTTTAGTTGTTTTTATCATTCAGGCTCTGGGGAGATAACTTAAAGTTTAGGCATTAGTACTACTACCACAGCTACTATTAATATTTTTTCTCCCTGGCCTTCACTGGGTTTTTATTTATTTTATTTAACAAAATGTATATACCGCTTGAATGTAAAAACACAACCCCAAACTCTATGCAGTTTGTCAACAATATAAAAGCATTAAAATGAGCAATAGCAAAAGTTTTAAAAGGTATTTATTTAAAAGATTAGAATCAGCACTATCTAAAAATAAATAAAACACATGTAACTTCTACATTCATAATGCTGAGATTATGGTTTTAGGTTTTTGTGGATTTGGCTGTTGCAAACTACCCAGAGTTCTTGATAGATGAAGGGCAGGATAAAAATAAAATGAACAAAACAAACTTACCTGCTAGCTATAGGCGACCAAGAATTCCATGCAGGTGAGTGAGTGAAGTGGTGTAAGAAAGAAGGACTGCTACAGTAGCCTGCCTCTGAAACAGCTTGGTTCCCAGACTTGTAATGTAGAAACAGGAAGTACCCTTTTCACAACCAGCATGAAAATATTGTGAGTTGGTGGAGGCTGGGGTGGTTGCTATGGGTCACTTTGTCCTGCCTCCACCAGTTCACTTGGTAGAATGCTTTTTTATTTTCTTTTTTGGACTAGCCTGCTAAGAGACTGTGGTCTTCATTTCCATGCTGCCTGTTCCACAACCACCAAAGAAGCTCAGGCTACTAGCCTCTTAGCATTTACTACTACTAGCCTCTTAGCATTTATTACTACTGTTTTGCAAGCTAGTAACTTTTGTGGGTTTATCTGCACGACTGATTTTTTTGCCAACCTGAGATGCTCCAAGCTCATGTAGGAGCATGTTTCTTTTTTTCAGAGGATAGCCACTGTTCCCAGCACACCCTCCTTCCTCCTGTAGAAACTTTTCTTCCAAAGATCTGATTTTTCTTTTCCACTTCACCTATACCCCCACCCCAGAGACGGCACAGCTACACAGTCCCATCTTATTGTAAGAAGGTTGGTAAAACTCAAATGCACTCAGCTGAAATGACTTATTTACAAGATACTCACATTTACCTGAAGAGGGTTCTGTGGGGAGACGTCTAACAAAGCACAGCTGGGTAGGTCCCATATAAAGCAGCTGTTCTGTTGTTGCCTTGCTTAAAGCAGAGGTGTTGAGGAATCCCCTGCAAATCTCAGGGAAGCATCACTAACAATACAACTCTGAATAGTCACAAAGTTCATATGGACTGTGAACACATGTACCTGGTTCTATCCAGTCCACCTTCCTTGTCAACTCTCTCAATCTGTGCCAGCAGACCGGTTGCTCACCTGCCACTCACAGGGTACAAGTTCAACACATCCATCTTGAGCCAATGGGTCCCATTATTTTGGGATCAACAGTCAGGTTGCTGCAAGTGTTGCTATTTGTAACAATGATGTTGCAATGCATGTGTTGCCTGTAAACTTTCTGACACTACTTTTCTTCCTCCTAACCCACCCCTTGTGGCTGAAGTAAGTTATCACTCATCTGTAGATGATAACACAGATGTTCATTGAGTAAATTAGGCAGCAAATTGTTAAGCTGTTGATGTGATGGAGTAAAAGCCCATGGCCAGTCTCATTCAAGACCAGGAATATACACCCAAAAAACCACAAAAAACAAAAAAACACAAAACAATAAACCCCTCCTTTCTAAGAAATAAATAAATCAGGCAAGTTTGTTGGTGACACACACACACACACATACACACACATACACACACACACACACACACACACACACACACTCCTCCTCTCATTGCTGAAGTTCCCAGGCAGAGATGGTGCCTATATGCCTTTAAATGCTTTGAAGCATTAAGCAAAGCTATGGCAGCTGTGCTTCTTGCCCTGTCCACTTTTGCATTCAGTAGCTAGCGGGAATCTTACTTTCTCCATGGAGACAAGCGGAGTGGATCATAGGAAAAAGTGATGGAAATACAGGGTGCAGGATGCCTAGGACAGCCAGAGAACACCTTCAACAGATGAGCAGAAGATGCAATTTCTACAGGTGTAGCTTGTGCAAACTGTATCTCCCTTGCAAACCACACAACCGTTAAATGTGCAGGATAACATTAGACAAGCCTACTGGGCCAGGCTAGGCCCAACTATTCCAGCATCTTGTTCTTACAGCGGCCAACCAGATGCCTTGTGGGAAACAAGCAAGCCGAACCTGAGCACAGGAGTGCCATCCCCGTCCTGTGGTTTCTAGCGACTGGCATTCAGAAGCACTATAGGCTTCAGCCACAGTTGCAGAGCATATCCGTCCTGGCTAGTAGCCATCTGATAGGCTTAACTTCAAGGAATTTGTCTTTCAAAGACATCAAAGTTGGGTACCATCACTGCCTCCTGTGGGAGTGAGTTCCATAGCATAACTATGTGCTCTTTGAAGAAATACTTCCTGTGATCTGTCCTGAATCTTCCAACACCTGCTTTGGAGCGTGTTGCTTCTGTGGTCCTCTTTTGCATCTGCCCACCCAAAGAGTCGTTATAGCTTTGCTGGGTACCCTAAAATGCATTATTTGACACTGCTAGAAGGTAAGGATTCAAGGACATAGCTATTAGTTACACCATCTTAGCAGTGACTTCCAATTTGCTAGAAACAGAACAGGTTCATAATGCATTTTAATTTACAGAATATTGTGCACATCTAGACATAGCAGCAACACATGGAACAACTAATTCATAGAAACTAATATACGAAGCAAAAATATACACAAACAAAGGGTTTTCCACATGGGGTGTGTCTGACAGATACGAAGGATAACATGAGTTTTTTACTTGCTTTTTTTGGCGTGTGTTTGTTGTGTGTGCTTTTACAGTTTATTATTCTATTTTGGTTTTAAACATGTTGTAATTTTTTGTCAGCCTGTGGAAAGAGATGAGCTAAGAATGTATATATACTTAGGGTCTACCTGTTGGGGAGATGAAGATAAGGATGATAAAGCATGTGACAGATTGTAGTTATGACTATGGTCATTTACCATCCCATTTTATAATACAGTGGTACCTCGGGTTAAGAACTTAATTCGTTCTGGAGGTCTGTTCTTAACCTAAAACTGTTCTTAACCTGAAGCACCACTTTAGATAAGGGGCCTCCTGCTACTGCTGTGCCGCCGCCGCCCGATTTCTGTTCTTATCCTGAAGCAAAGTTCTTAACCAGAGGTACAATTTCTGGGTTAGCAGAGTCTGTAACCTGAAATGGCTGTGACCTGAAGTGTCTGTAACCTGAAGCGTCTGTAACCCAAGGTACCACTGTACACAGTAAGAGATGCACGTGCACCTTTCTGGGAAACTGTCCAAGGTCTTTCTATTGCTTCAAACCTATAAGGTGTTGTGAACCACAAGGCACATAATGGGTGGTTAGATAGAAAAGCTGAGAAAGGTCTTTGTCCAGGACTTTGGAGAACAACAAGTTCCCCACCATTGCTTTACCGGGTTTGACTCTTGGCTTGTTCTCTGGTTCTGCCTCCCAACATTGATCCTTGGCTTGACAGTCTGGTTCCTGCTTGGTGGCTGATTACCTCTGAGCGATGATCCTTTACTTTTGCCCTTATTCAACCTTCTGCTGCTAGCGTCCAAGAAAATGCAGTAACCAGAGCACCAGCTAAACTTTCAGGCTGCAGGGAGTCTGGGCTGTGCACAGTTGCCAGGAGGTTCCCTGTGATGTTTCCTATTCCAGGGCACAGAGTCTGGGATTCTCTGTGATCCAGCTGCAGCCTCTGTTCCTGCTGACTCACTTCCAGGTGCAGGTGTGCAGAGAGCTCACCTGGGAGATTCTCAGTCTACAGAGACAGCAGTTGTTTGCCTGGACACAACAACATTTGTATGCCTTGGGTAGGGGAGTGCTTCAAGGTCACTTTCAAAATATACAGTCATTCGGCTTGGATACAAACTCACATACAGTATATGCTTATGCTAAGGGCAACAAATAATAACTTGCGCTAAGGTAACCCAAATTCGAAGCCAAGAATTTGCATTTGTTTCTTTATCTTATTTGATTAAGGATGCCTACACACCATATATTTAAAGCACTTGATTGATTATCCACCCTTCACCCTAAGGTTCTGGGGTGGGTTACAGCAGTAAATACAACTTTAAATGCTTTAAATTTAATGTTTTTATAATAATAATAATAATAATAATAATAATAATAATAATAATAATAATAATAATAATTTATTATTTATACCCCGCCCATCTGGCTGAGTTTCCCCAGCCACTCTGGGCGGCTCCCAATCGAATGTTAAAAACAATACAGCATTAAATATTAAAAACTTCCCTAAACAGGCCTGCCTTCAGATGTCTTTTAAAAATAGGATAGCTGCTTAAATAATAATACCGTAATTTATTCTTAAATAATAATAATTTACGGCTTTCCCCCAAAGAATCCTGGGAACTGCAGTTTGTGAAGGGTGCTGGGAATTGTAGCTCTGTGAAGGGTAGCCTACAGTTTTCAGGATAACAGGGAAAGGCCTGTGTTTCATATTTATGAGGAGAGAATCAATATAACACTACGGATTCAATATAACATTTTGGCTGGCCGAATGTAATGATCCCTCCTCCCCCACTGAGTATTGTTCTGGGGATTCTTCCAACCCCCAGCAGAGCCAATTTCAGGAGAGAAGATGGAGAGGAACCATTGTTCAAGTAGAAGGGCAGGGCTACCACTGATGTGACTCCTTAGTTGACTCTTGTTCACTGTATGTGCACAGCCTGTGTACTTTCATGGTGTGCGGGCACAGCTAACCGTGGCAGGTACACATGTGGCTACAACCTTCCCCATGTGCTAGGACAGTGTTCTTCTGTGGCATCTGAATATAGACTGCATTTTTAATCAAGGCATATATTGGCTTATATTTGATCAGGTGCCTAAATTAAATGGGCTTAGATTTTCAAATGTTTCATGCCAGGCAAGAAGGCCAGCTGTTTATAGAGAAAACCTTGGCCATTCTCCTAAGACAAGGGGCCCCTTTGATTTATAGCAGAAAACAATTCTCAAAGTCGTAAAAGCTGGAATTACAGACTGAGTAAGGACACTGACCCTACATGTTACAGAAGATAACAAAGGCAGAGATAAATATAATTAGGAATGAGTAAATAGTAAAATAAAACCATGTGCCTTAAACTTGAGACACAGGACAAAAGGTCAAGAGCACTTGGAAGAGAAAACAACTGGCTGGAGAAGGGGGGGGGAGTATGAACAGGGGAACAGGATTCTTTTAAAACGGTTTTTTACTGTGTTCCTTTTTACTGAGTTCTTTTTCTTCTTTACAAAGGCTTTATTCTTTTAAAGAAGCTACCTGTGTTGTGTATTAAATATGCTGGTTTAAATGTAACTATGCAAAGGATTTAGAAAGTAACAAATTTAGATGTTAGATTCTTATTTCATAGAATCATAGAGTCCTAGAGTTGGAATAGACCACAGGGGCCATTGAGTCCAGCCCCCTGCCAGAAATGAGACGCCAATCGAGCACTCCTGATATATAAGTTGTCAGACATTTGTTTAGAAACCTTCAAATGAAGGAGATCTTTCAATATTGATGTGAAACTCAAGATCCTTGACATATGTTTAAGATAAAAATTTAAGATTAACCATTTGTTTTAGAAGGCAATAGGGCAAGGAGGGCAAGAGGTGAGCTGGTAATTAAGATTCCATGTAAGATATATTATTACTTATTTGTCATTTATATATAGCTCTTTGTCTCCCTTATAAGGACAGGAGGATATGAGTGTATTTTTGTGATTGGTTATACTAATCAGCCAATAGGAATTTCAACCAGGCTGATGGGACAGAGGCAGCCCAAGGAGGAGCAAAGGGGGCTGGATTAAGGGAATATAAGTGCTGGCCATAATGGCAGGAGGCAGGCCAGAGCTTGGTAATCATATACCACTGTGCCTCTCATTTATTTGTCTGACAAATAAATTATTATTTAATTTCTCTGTTGCTGCGTTGAATATTTCATTCCAGCTAAGCGTTAACCACAAGCAGGGTGCTACACTTCAACCTTGGTTCTCCAGACGTTGTTGGACTACAACTCCCATCATCCCCAGCTCAAGCAAACATAGCTACATAGGTAGCTGCCTTACACCGAGTCTGACCATTTGTCCATCTGATTCAGTATTGTCTACACTGACTGGCAGTGGCTCTTCAGGATTTCAGACAGGGGTCTCTCCCAGCCCTACCTTCTGCATGCAAAGCGAATGCTCTACCACTGAGCTAAAGGCCTACAGTTGGGCAATTCTTTATTAGGACCAGCCCCGAAGTCACAAAAATGTGCTTAGCTGCTTAGCTCTTCAGCTCTCCAGAACTCTTCATCAGGTAAGATGTTACACAAAGCAACGGATGGTGCGATGAGGAAAAACAAGCAGAAAAAAATAAGTTAATTGTTGTGGCCGCAAGGCCAATTTGGTGAAAGCAGACGTTGGTTTGCAGCCTGGTATCTCTAGCACCTAAGAAAGGCTTGCAATCTCCTTCTTGGAACTGAGTCCACGAGCTCAGAGAATTTAGAACGCTTTTAAAATTAAATGGGTATTAAGAAGCTGCAGTGTAGGTCCTTGTAATTTATTATGTATTGCTTTAGTAGTTGCTTTGTCCATCATTCTAATTCAAATTGCTTTTGTTCTTTCATT